AGTTAGTTCGGGATCGGCTGACATTGCATGAATGTCGCCGGACATTACCGCCACAAGGAACGCCATCTTCCAGCTCAACAGCTGAAGAGAGAGAGACGACAGATCCTGAAAGGAAGGACCGGACAGCCAATCAGGAACGATTGACAAGTTCCAAGGGGGACTGATCCGCCGGACAGGCGGTCGGATCCTGTCCACACCTGCTAAAAAGCGCTGCACTAATGGGTGCGCACCCAGAAGTGCCCCGTCGACAGGGACGTGAAAGGCTGCGATAGCTGTAGAGTACCCCCGGACTGTCGATGCGGCCAGGCCGTCATCTAGTCGTGACTGGAGGAACTCAAGCACGGCTACGAGATCTGCAGAAAAGGGATCTGCAATCCCTCCATAGACACACCAGCGTGCATAGCAGGCCCATCTATCCTCGTACTGAACGTTTGTCAAATCCCTCCGCGAAAAGCCAGTATTGTGTCTGCAACTCGTGCAGGAATACCGCTCTTCTGGAGGCGATTCCTGACATTGGCCAAGCCACCCACTGAATCCTGGGATTCGGGTGGAGTGCCCCGTTCTGGGATAGGAGGTCCAGTCATAAAGGTAATAGAACAGGAGGCTGAGCCAGAAACCTGAGTATTACTGGAAACCAACTCTGCGCAGACCAAAGGGGTGCCAGGAGCACAAGTAGTCGTGCAGGCTGAGTGGCTAGCTGAGACACGACCTTGGAAGTCAGAGGTACTGGGGGGAATGCCCACAGAATTCTGTCCGTCCAATCTAGCTGGAAGGTGTCCAGTGCCACCGACCTCGGGTCGGGGACTCAGGAGCAGAACGTTGGTGTCTGGTGATTCACCCCAGACGCAAACGGATCCACCTGGAACGACCCGTATAACTGGGAGATAATCCTGAATATCCCCGGGTCGAGCCTCCACTCGTGAGATAAACAGGTAGCACCCTGATAATGTGTGAGTCGTACCATAGTAGGAACTGCCACATCTCTTGGAGAAGCGACGGAGACACCGTTCCCCCCTGCTTCCGAATGTAAGTCATCGCCGTTTGGTTTCCATCTCTAGACGAACCACTTGGCCACGAGGCAGATCCAGGAAGCGTTGGAACACCAACCTGACCGCTCTCAGTTCTAGCACATTAATATGCAGTTTGATCTCCTGCTGGGACCATAGTCCCGAGGCAGTGTGATCGTTCAGAACGCCTACCCAGCCGGAGAGTGATGCATCTGTTTGAACTGTGAGAGACGGAACGGGAGTGTCGAGGCGGAGCCCCCGGGACAGATTCCCGACCTCGGTCCACCACTGAAGGTGTGCATTGAGCCACTGCGGAGTCTCGAGAATAGTCTCGAGATCTTCCAAGTTCACCCAAAGTCGAAGGAGCGCTTGTTGAATGGGTCTCATTCTCAAGCGCGCCCGCCAAACCACATCCACTGTTGCCGCCATGTTGCCCAGTAACTGGAGCCATGTACGAGCAGTGTGACTTTCGGACAGAAGGAACTGGGAAGTAACACTTCTGACCTTGGTAATGCGATCTTGTGACAGAGATACAAGTCCGCTCACTGTGTTGAAATTCGCCCCTAGGAAGACTAGATTCTGAGTAGGGCTCAGATCTTCTTGAGATTGACTATCCACCCTAGAGTGATCAGAATGTCTATCACTTCTTGTGTAGCTATCTGACTCAGGGATTGCGATAGAGCTCTTAGTAACCAGTCGTCGAGGTACGGATGGCAGAACCTACCTTTTGATCTGGCCACTTGGGCGGGAATCAACATCAGCTTGGTGAACACCCTCAGGGCCGTGGAGATCCCGAATGGTAGAACCCTGAACTGATAACACCTCCCGTCGAAAGAAAACCTCAGGTATTTCTTGAACTCGGGGTGTATGGGTACGTGGAGATAGACGTCTTTTAGGTCTGTTGATGTTAGCCATTCTCCTGTCTTGACAGCTGAGATCACCGAGCGCAGTGTCTCCATCCTGAAGGACGGTACCCCTATAAGTTTGTTCAGCCTTCTCAGATTGAAAATAGGCTTGAACCCTCCGTCTGTTTTGGTGACTAGGAAATATGTCGAGTAGAAGCCCTCGCTTTCCTGTCCCACGGGAACCGGTTCGATAGCAGCCTTCTCAAGTAGCAGGCACCGGAGTGTGCTTTATCCCGGAGAAGGGGGGCGGATGATGTTTCCACCGAGGCAAATGGCCATCCCTTAGAGTTGACAGGATCCAGGGATTGGATGTGACTGTCTCCCATTCCTTCAGCAATAGAGCCAGTCCGCCGCCTATGGGGACATCCGGCTTGAGGCAGTGGACCCCGGCTGTCGGCAGTTCGATAACTTGCGACTGTGGGTCCGCCCGGGGCACTTCAGGCACTAATGGGAACCCGATGGTTCCCAGGCCCCGCGAAAAAGCTGCTGGCCTCGACCAGCTGCCTTGCCCTGGCCCCTGCCTCTCTTGCTCCTCCCGGCGCCCTTACCTGAAGGAAGCGGCTGCTTCCAAGCAGGTGCGGACTTCTGACCAAGCACGTCAGCATAGGAGAAGTCAAGTGGAGAGGTCAGCTTACGCGGTTTAACGCATGGTACCTCCAACAAGGCCTTAGAATCCTTGATGGAGGCATACAATTGTGCGGCCTCTCGGACCACCTGCTGAGCCCCAGGGAAGAGGGTGGCACCCATCTTATATGGCAAAGCAAGTAGATCCTGGCGTGTGGAAGCCGAGTATTTGGATACCGACATCCCCAGCCTGCGCATGCCCATGACTGCGCACATCATCTGCGAGGCACAGCTATGAATAGCGTCCCTCACAAGATGACTATGAACTTCCGTAAGTTGCGCGGCCAACCCCGAAGAGTCGGCTGGCCCCTCTCCCGCTAACTCCCTCTGTACTGCCGACAGATATGCGGAGTGTACGGTCACACGGAGCTGTTGGCATGCATTACGATATTGCTCCTCAAAGCATACGTAAGCAGCCTTCAACTCCGCACCGCACGCGGGAAAGGGGGGCAACCGCCGGCCCTGCTTTACCTTAGTCAAGTTGGGGGTCGAAGACCCCCCCTGGGTAACGGAGGTCCAGATGCATTCATTCACCACCGGTACCTCAAAGTCACCATCCTCTGCTAACGGGTACCGCTTCATAAGTTCGGGCAGGTCGAACTTCCTGCGGGCACCCAACAACAGAGGGTTGATGACTTTATGCACCAGTGAGGATAGAACACGGAGCCGCACCTGGGGCGCCTTGCTAGGAGCAAAAGCGTCCCCCGGAAGGCGGTCTGAGATCGTCCCCGAGACCAAATGGCCTGCCTCGGCCGACGCCGGGCATATCACGAGGTCTCAAAGCCGTGTCCAGCGCCGACAACGGGGAAGGCTCGGTCCGCATCTCCTCTCGGAGCTGAGACTTTACCTCCTCCATCATCGACGCCATCTGCGACCTCAACAAGGCAGAGATGTCCCCCAAAGACGGTGCAGGAGAGGGTGCAGAGGGGGGGAGGACGGTCTTTGCCAATCTTATATCCACCCCCGCCCACAAGAGACCCTTAAAGTGCAAGAGATCCACTTGTCTCTTTTTCTGAGCCAGGGGCGTGAAAGCAATACAGATCGGGCATGACCCATCGTCATGCCCGTCTTCCGCCAGATACTTGAGGCAAGTATCATGCCTGTCTTGGGGGGGAATGGATGCCGAACACCCCGTACACAGTTTGAAGGTCTGTAAAAAAGACTGTAACTTTGGAGTTGGGCGGGAAGGGTAATAAAGTGTATCAGTGCGATTGAAAGATCGGAAAGATACGTGCATAAATTGTGAAACTAGAAGCAAAGGCGTAATTTAGAATGCGATTGGTAACGCGATACTAATAGTCAATGTCGTAGTATAATTATAACACCAAAGTGGGCGTGTTACGCGCGAAGGTCTAAAAAAAACGTAAAAAAGGTAAGTGTAATTTAAAATAATTAACACACCACCTTGGGTTTATGTAAAAGAAAAGATTGTAGGCCAAAGCCCGATGATATAACATTAAAAACCCCAAGCCGTTTTTAATGGCCCTGGTGTTACATGTATTATACGTGGCCCTACAATATGGACGCCACGATGGCCTTTGTTCAAAGGTATCGTACACGTGTCACATAATTACAACTCTATAACTTTACAATGCGAGATATTACGCCTTTGCATGAAAGAAATGTACCATACATACAGTTTGGTCAGCCATGGTTCTTGTTCGAACGATAATCTTGTACTTTTGTAAGTCTTGAAAAAAACAGGCACGTCTGTCTTAGTCAGATGACATAAGGAAAGTGATTTGGGTGAGAGTTGCTTCCCTTGGCGTGACGCGCCGTGGAGGGTGAGGCACCATAAGGGTGGTTGTATATCATACAAAAACGAAGTTTTTTGTGTGGTAACATTTTTTATTAAGGAAAATGGTTACAACTATGTCATGTAGATTTTCTTGAGCCAGGAAAATGCAATAAGTGCCCCAAGGAGGATTTAATCTGAAAGAGAATACTCAGTTAGATAACAAGTCCGACACTCTTGTGTGATGTTTTCATTTCCTTAATCTGTTAACAGAACTAAATAGTTGTTAAGATGCCCTAATCTCATCAGTCCAAAAAAATTATCAGGCAAGGAACAGTGTAATACAATTGTATACAACAGTGTCCGAAATAACTGCCTGCTTGCCCACCTGCCTGTGGCTGGTAACATTTCTTTTGGGCTGCATGAAATTTTCCTCGACCTGCCCGACTGTCTGTTAGATAATTTAAGACTATTTACGTATTCAGTTTATAATAACTTGTCATATATTCTTAACTGAATCATGATGCGATTTGTCTCCTATCATTTGTGATTTTTCAATTTTAATAACTTTGAAGATGGGCAGGCAACATTTATGGGTCACCTGCCCGACTGTCTTGTTGGGTTTTTAAATTATTTCAAACACTGATATACAATACAGGTGTCCTGCTCTGGGTTTATAGGGTAAAGGAAAATAAACCAGTTTGATATTTGGACCTGAAAACAACCTACTTCTTCATATTTTTTCCCTGGCCTATCTTCAGCATCCATGGCTGGTCCTCCGGGTTATACTTCTTCACTCTGATCCCATACTTCTTCCTCCGTGCTTCCTCCTTCTGTTCCCGACCAAACTCACTCCCAGCGCCAAACTTGGGCATGGTGTCAATGTCATAAGCACTCTTAAATTCCTTGAAGTTGTTTTCTCTCTCTATCCTCACTGAAGTCTGAAGAGGAAACAATGATGCCAAGACATTTTTCCATGTTTCACATACGAAGATACAGAACTTAAGCATGTTCAGTAAGGAAAATGACGAGCCATCTAGGTCACACCGCTTCACTACTGACAGACACAAGTAATCTACTGTAGTCATGACAGTCGGGCATTTTTTTCAATTACTTGGTTTGCATTGAATGTATTTACAATTAAATTTTGACAAGGACTGAAGAAAGAGTTCAGTTTAAGGTAAGGTAGCAAAGTAACCATTTGCCGCCTTTGTCTCAGGCAACATCAGCTTAAATTACACATCAGTTCACAGTGTAATAACGTCTGGATTATCTGCATTTAACTGGACATATCTCTTGACCTCTCCTTGCAGCAATGTATGCCATTTACATGTTAACTCCAATGTTTTGTGGCAGCTTCCATCACAGAGTTGCATCTACCCACCTGTGCCTGCTGAAGTTTCACAAAGTCAAGGTCCACACCACTTCCGATCTTCATCATGCTGTACTTCTTTTTTCTTTCTCTGAAAATGGGAAATTTGTAAGGAATACTAATCACATATTCATATTTGTTGCGTAGGCTCTGCTACCAATGTTTGTTGCGCAGTGGAAGGCAACGACGTTCATGTGTATACCTTCCGTCTTTTCTACTCCACTGGAATGGTACGATTAATGGGGAACTAAACGTGATTCTCTTTCTATGACAGAATGGGTAACTAAACGTGATTCTCTTTATATTATATGTGGGGAACTAAACGTGATTCTCTTCTTAATGAAAAAAAAGAAAACTATGCAATGTCCATGACCTAGAATGCAGAAATGAATAATTTACTATAGGAGCAAGTACACACTTTACGTTTCTAAGGGCCACGAATATTGTCCCATCTAGTATATACCAAGACCACGAATATTGTCCCATCTAATTTATACCAAGACCACGAATATTGGTCCAACAATAACTAGTTCCTATAAAGACCACGAATATTGGTCAACAACCGTAAAGTGTGTCTTGCTCCAACGAACGAAAAGCCTGCACTGACGATTGCAATGCATCACGTGTCAGCATTCATTTTCTGCACGTGAAACGAATGCCACAATCTGATTTCCGCGAAGCATGTGGCGTTTGTGCTCATGTTCATGTAACATGAACTGAAACAATGTTTGTTTTCTTTTATTTATATTCTCTCCACAACATACCCCCTCTTGATGATAGACCAATGTCTATCAACTACTACCAATAAATTTTAACACGAAGTCGAACTAACAACCCAATGAACTAACAATTCCGATCATAAGTCCACTATGTTCACTATGTACAAGAAATACTGATCTGATATGCTAAATCTTCTACTTTGGCAGCCTCATTGTACTGGAACATTAATTCTCTGTATCACTGTTCCATTCTAAAGGACAAATCTTTGTCACAGGTCTCGTAAGTTTTGATTGTCCAACTTGAACCTCCACAACTCTAACGTGACCATCCTGTCCAGGAAATATCTTCACTATCCTGCCAAGGGGCCAACAACCACAAGGTGTATTCGGAGACACGACAATCACAACGTCATCAACTCTAAAGTCTTTGGTTGGAGTGAACCATTTTTTCCTGACATTGAGAGTTGGCAACCATTCTCTCATCCAACGTCTCCACACATGTCTCACAAGCCCTTGGACTTGTCTCCATCTCCTCCTTGGAGTGAATGATGAATCAATTTCTGGAGCGAATTCTCCTCCCATCTGTCCATGAAGGAAATGGTTTGGTTTCAAAGGTGTCTCATCTTGTGGATGGGCACTCTGGTAAGTCAATGGTTGAGAGTTAATAAGAGCTTCTGCACCTGTGAAGGCAGTCATTAACTCCTCATCAGTAACATCTCCAGCGCTCAATATTGCAAAGATAGCGCGTTTAGCCGACTTAATCATGGACTCAAAGACACCACCAAAGTGAGGAGCATGAGGAGGATTGAATGTCCAAATAACTCCTTTATTTGTTAGTGAGGTTTTTACTACATCTGAGTCCAGTTCTGACACAAGAACCTTCAACTCTTTTGCAGCTCCAACAAAATTTGCGCCATTGTCTGAAATGATTTCCTTTGGCATTCCACGTCTATGTGCCATTCTGCAAAAAGCGTTCAAAAAGGATTCTGTGTCAAGTCCATATGCCATCTCTAAGTGTACAGCTCGTGTTGAGAGACATGTAAAGAGACAAAGGTATCGCTTTTGTCGACGTTTTCCTCTACCTTGCACGGTGATAAATGGGCCAGCAAAGTCAACACCAACTTGAGTAAATGCACGTAACGAACATTTCACTCTAATTGCCGGAAGATCTGCCATGATGTGATGTGTGGGTTTTGTCTTCAGGCGTCGACACCAAGAACATTCTCTCTCCCACTCACGAATCTCTTCCCTGGATGAAATAATCCAGAATCTTAGACTATCAATTTTGTTACCCAATTTCGTCTTGGAAGTATAATGGGAAACCTAGCAGCTGCAGATAACACCTTTGCATATTTCAATCTTCCACCCGATCGTAGGAGGCCATTTTCATCAAGCATTGGATTGAGAGATAGAATCTTACTTGTTTTGGGCAATGGTTTACCCTTAGCCAAGGCATTGTATTCTTCAGAAAATGCCTCTTTCTGTGTTTTGGTCAACAGTTTCATTTCAGCATCTTCAATTTCTTCAAGATCAAGATCACCTTTTTTACGGATACAGGTTGGTATACGAGAGTTGTTGAAGAATCTGAAAATCCATGCAAGAACTCTGCAAAGTCGTTTCCAGTTTGAAAACCTAGAAGGTTCTAAACGCCATGGTGTTTCTTCATCTGTTTCACACAACATTGTAACTGCCCTCTGAGGAATTCATAGTTACTGAAGTCAACAACTTGTTTTGGCCAATCATTTTCTGTTGAAGTCAGGAATTCAGGACCGTTTAACCATTTCCTGTTCTCCAATGTTTGAACTTGAGCACCTCTGCTGACAACATCTGCAGCGTTCAGTTGTGAGGGAACTTACCTCCACTGACTAGGATTTGTATTCTCATGGATGTATCCAACACGATTTGCCACAGATGACTTGAAACTTCTACTCGGACTTTTCACCCACCACAACACATTTAAGCTATCAGACCAAAGTGTTGCAGACAGGTGTTATTGCCAAGGCCTTTACAACAGCATTGAGAAGTTTAACTCCAATGACAGCTGCAAGCAATTCCATTCTTGGAACACTGACTGCTTCAAGAGGTGCCACATGACTCTTTGCAGCTACGAGATTACTTGAGACCACCTCACCTTTGTCCATAGTGATTGCATATACAACAGCCCCATATGCTTCTTGTGAAGCATCTGCGAAAACGTGCAGCCTTGTATTTTCTATAGCAGAAGCCACTTGAATGCATCTTGGTACCCGAATCAATCTAAGAAGTTCTATTTCATGATACCACTGCCATGCTTTCTAATTGGGGGTTGATAACTTCATCCCACCCAGCACTTGTTGTCCATATTTCTTGGAGGATAACTTTGGCCCTTATGATGAAAGGTGCCAAAATGCCAAGGGGATCGAAGAGTTTTGCAGTTTCTCTCAAAAAGTGTCTTTTTGTCATGCTAAAACTGTTGTCTTGAACATAGTAACAGAAACGAAAGTCATCACTTTCTGCATTCCATGTCAGACCAAGAGCCTTAACTGAAGGCAACTCCTTCATGTGTATATTGATCTCCTTCAACCTGTCTTCAAGAGGAATGTTGTCTAGAACCTGTGTTGAATTAGAAACCCATTTTCTAGCATGCATACCTGCTGAACTCCATAAGGCATTTAGCTGTTCATAGAGTTCTATTGCCTGACCATCATTTTCTACTGAATCCATGTTATCATCCGTGTAAGTGGATTTCTGAACCGTTTCTGCAGCCAAAGGGAATTCTCTTTCGTGATGTCTGGCATGTTCTTGTGAAATATATTGTGCCAAGAAAGGAGAACAATTCATTCCAAACACAACTCTGGTAAATTCGTAAACATCAGGTGTTTGGTTCTGGTCCATACTTCTCCAAAGGAATCTGAAATGAGAACGATATCACAAATAATCGCGACTGGGTGCTTCCTGAAGCGAAGCAAAATCTCAAACAAATCATTTTGTAACTTAGGACCATGATGAATTGTATCATTCAAGGACAAACCGTTACATTTTGCCGACGCGTCAAAGACTATTTTGACTTTTGTTGTTGTTCTATCTGGTTTCACGACAGGAAAATGAGGTAAGAACCATTTTGTTTCTTTAATTTCTTCTTCAGGCACTTTCCTGATGTAACCTTTGTTGATATATTGTGCAATGACATCATCATATGCCTCTGAAATGGTTTTGTCTTTGGACAACTTCTTTTCAATGTTCAACAACCGACTGAAAGCCATATCATAGTTGCTAGTAAGTTCATCAGCTGTCAACCCCAACCTTGTGCCTACCATTGCAGTACTGAAGAGAAGATTGTACAGAATCAGCAGCCATTTGATCATTCACACTCATGATTTGAATTGAACTGGAAACATTTTCTATTTCCCAAAATCGTTGGACCAAAAGATCCATGTCCTTTTCCCCACTGTATTCAGTATCAACGTTATTCACGAAGAATGTACTTGTTCCTTGTGTCCGTTTAACATGGAGCCCTGTTACATTCCCTACACACGTCCACCCCAAAGGTGTGAGTCTAGCCACTGGTTCTCCAGTCCTACCACAGACATCACCACGGGAGGAATGCAGTTCCAGGTAATCCATTCCTATCAGTATGTCAACGATTGGTCGTGAACCTAAGTTGGGAAACTGTATGTCCCTCAAATGAGACCATTTCTGTGCATATTTTTGCCAGTCAAACACTTTCATGCTGCCAGTGACTTTAGTAGTTGATAAAGCTACTATCTGCATGTCAACTGAGCCATCAATACTTTCCAATCCAAATTCAACAGACATACTGTCAAAGGTTTCTGTTTTACTGTTAAGGACGTTAACAGATACAGATTTAGTTTGACCCTGAAGACCAAGGTCTGATGCAACATCTTCATTGATGTATGTTTGTGTGCTTGCATTGTCTAACAAGGCATTGACCACTAATCTGTTTTTCCCATTCTTCAGTATAACTGGAATGGTTCTAAGAAATGAGATTGCGTCTTCATAGTAGACATTGTGGTTGTCTGTGTTAGGTTCTCTGTGCCACTCCCAGAGATACCTTTATCAGTTACTCCAGCACCACTACAGTTTCTATTTTGATTACTTCCTTTGTAATTGTCATGTAGCAGGCGATTATGAGTAGCTTGACAACTGTCTATACCACATTTATCTGATATGGTACATACATGTCTATGATGTTTTGTTCCAAGACATCGGAAGCAAAGACTCAATTCCTTTGCCTTATCCCATCGTTGTGGAACATCAAGATTTTTAAATATTCTGCATTGCCAAATCTTGTGATTGGGATTTTTACAGACATGACAATGTTGTGCCTTGCTTACACCTTGTGCACCAAAGTATGTACCTGATCTTTGATGTT